TCAATCACTTGTATTAGAAACAAAGATAACTTTAAAAAAACATAGCATGTAAAAGTGTTTAATTATGGAAAAAGAAAGCATTAGTAAGCCCTTCAAGCTAGAGGAATGTATAAACTTTATGTAACCCAGCATCAGTCACCCTCTACTAACTAAATTAGTCCTGGCCGGTAAGTGGCTGTAAGAGACCCATCCACTGCCAGGCCTCCAGCCACAAGTTGTTCTTGGAGGGCTGGTTCCGTGCTCCGCCCTCAGTTTCCACCTAAATAATCAACAGAACCAAAGTGACTGCAAAGGCCAAAACCGCTTTTTCATTAAAGTTTTAATATCATATCACCAGAAGTCCCAGGAAATTTTCACATCAAAAAAATGTTATGAGGGATGTGGCTGCATTTAGTTTAACTGATATATCAGGTGCAGCTGGAAATTAAGGAGCCTACACTTCCATCTTTTAAAAGGCCCTAGTTATTTCTCTACCTTCTTGCTGCCCCAAGTAATAGGTAGCAACTAGTTCTGGACAATAGGCAGAGGTAAAGGAAACCTAAAATGGATGGGTTACCAGGTCTCTGTTAACCAGCTTAGGTGGCCCACTAAGGTCTCAGAATGTCTCGATGGTTGAGCATCCCATCTACACGGGGTAAAGGATGGACCCATTCCAGCCTACTGTGGGTCAACAAAATAGTTCCTAAGACAACAGATCAGTAACTTACCAGCCCAGGCCAGTAACCTCACCCTAGAGGTCAAGTATGTTAGCAACCCTCCTTTACCCTAGGAAGTGTTACCCCCAGGGGCTGTTGGGGGGGGGGGCGGGGGGTCGACACTCCAAGCACCTATACTTCGATAAACGTGTCAGTCTCACCCTGGAAATGATTGGCTTTCTGTCCACTGTAAAGGTGTTATTCCCTTCCTCCGAGTTCTTCTCTCGCTGGAGGTAAGGACCCAGGCTGATCAGCAGGCACCTGCGGACCTGAGAGGCGCAGCGCGCCAGGCCCCGCACACCGAGTTGGAAGGTGCGTGGTGCCAAGCTCCGGAGCGTCTCCCCGGCGCGCGGAGGTCCGGCGAGGCCACCGCCCGAGGCCCACCGCCCGAGGCC